AAAATAAAAGTAGCTGTTTACAACAGCTGCCACTACACAAGCAAGAACAAGCCAAATCAATGAGCCTCACTCCTGAATTTTAATAATATCCTGCATTTTTTTCCCCATCCACGACCTGCATGTTCCCCCAAACCAACCCTAACTCAAATATATTCATTCCCAAAAAAAAAAAGCTCTTGGAGGCAAAGGTTTTGTCTTCTCCTCCCAGCCAACACATTAGACAGCTGGACATTAGTTGGCTGGAATTGATTAGAGTTTGTGATTTAATTTAAAAGCATTTGAAAGCAGATATTAATCTCAGAGCTCTGAAGGGGAGAGAGACACGCTGGGGAGAAAAATAGATTTAATTCCCCGGGCAACTGCACTAAAAGGTACCCTGGAATTCCCAGCAGCTTTGGCACAAACCACGTCCAGAAGTGACAAAGAAGTGGGATAATGTGGCAGCACCATCTCCCTCCCTGTTTTTTACAGCAAGAAACCTTAATTCCACTGGAAAGAGCTTAATTCCTCCTTCCTGCCTCATTTGTGAGGTCTCAGTGTCACACAGGTGAACTCCCAGCACAGGGTGGGGGATTTGGGGGTGGCCTGTGCAAGGCCAGGAGTTGGACTCCACGATCCCTGTGGATCCAGCTCAGGATATTCCAGGATTCTGTGCAGATCCACAGTTACAAGAGGCATAAATCTGATTTATTTGAGCAGGTGGGACCTGCTCCAGCAGCATTTCCCCACCAGCGAGGTCCAACTCCATCAGAGAGGGGTGATCCAAGGGGAGAAAGGAGGGAGCAGTGACTGCTTTGCCTTGGAATTACTTTCCTCACACTCAGCTCCACAAAACACCACCACCAGCTGAAAGTCTCCTCGGGGATGAGGCTTGGTTTAAAGGTGAACCAGCTCACCCAGCTTCAAGTCAGAGCTGAGAGAGAAAAAAACATCCAAACATTCTTCTGGCTTGGTTGGTTTGTTTATTTTGAATTCTCCAGGGCAGAGGAAGATTCCAGGCTCCCTGCCCCATTTAACAGGGTTCAAAGCTGGGAATTCCTTCCTTGCCTCAGCTAAATTAACTCAATCTCATTAAACTCCACTGGTCAAGGGATTGTTCCCTGAGCAGTGAATCAAACATTATCCAGCTGACCATCTGGATATCTGCACTGAGCTGCTCTCAGTTAGGAGACTGGGAAGAAGTTAGAAGTTGTAAAGAGCCGAAAACCCAAATTTTTAGGGGTTTGCTCTCTGTTTTAAATGGGAAGTTCAGGTGTTACCTGCACTGCAATCCAGCTGGCGTTCACAGCGTGCTCTCCAAAGGGCCCAAACCCTGCAAGAGAACAAAAAAAAATCCACCCTGGTGAAGTTCATTCTCACAGCTTTGAACTCCACCTCGAGTCGCAAAAAGGTTTGAGCTTTTTTCCCTAGTTTAGATATCCTGAGAAAAAAAAACCACCAACCACTTTTACCACCCAATCCTTATTTCTTTACATCCAAGCATCAAACGAGGCACCTGCATTGAAATATTTCAACTGCAACCTCGTACAGGGAAGGAAACCAAGAACTTGCCCCACAAGAACCTTTTTTTTTTTTTTCCCCAACAGACATTTGGGAGGATTTTTTTTTTCCCCTTCCTGCCCAGGTTAGAAAAACTTGTTATCAAAGAGAACTTTTTAACAAAGAGAACTTGTTATCAACAGAGGACTTGATGTCAGGGAATTAAATCACGATTGGATTTTTCTATTCCTGATTGTTTTAACCCACAGCAGATCCCTCCACGAGCCTTTCCCAAAGGTTTCTTCTCTGCTCAAGTCTTCTCCAAGATCTTCATTAGCACTAATTACTAAGGAAAATTATTAAGGAAATAATCAGGACTGTTCACAACCCACCTACCCCGAGCAGCAAAGGTTACAATGGCATTATCAAAAATACCTCCTCACCACCTCTTAAAATTCCTAATGGATAACTTTGGAGTTAACTGGTGATCCATAACATCTTCTCCTGAGCAAGCACACAAAGGTTGAGCAATTTATCTGGGCGTAATGTCGATACACTTTAATTTACAATGTCAGCATTGCCCTCTGAGCTTAATGCAATTAGGAGGCATAAATTCTGCCCAGCTCCTGAAAGGATTCGAGAAGAACCACAAATATTAAGTGACACCTTAATGGAAATGCCGTGTTTGCCATCAGCAGCCAGGCTGAGGTGATGCTGCACACGAGGAATTCACACACAGCGCTGGCTCATCCACGCCCGTGGATCAAAACCCAGCATTGGTATCTCCCCAAAACAAATATTCCCACAGAATCCAAGTGGTGGTGTGTTTTCCTGTTCAGCAAAACCCCAAGGCTGTAACACAATCTACGACTGCAGCACGGGGGACAGGGCAAATTAATGCCTTTTCAGCTGTTTCTGCGAGTCCTGCACAACTCTCTGAAAACAAACACCGCAGCCCGCTGGGTTTAACTCCTAAATAAAGTGCAATAATCTTATAAAACAAATAAAATATGTATTTTAGCAACCCAGCCACCGAAAGGCTGAAATTCTACAGGTGGTTCAGGCACACAACGTGATCCTCTTGCCCCGAATCCAAAGGGAAAAACTGGCACAAGCACAACCGGGGGTATCACTGCTGTGACTCATCCCCTGCCCGGATCCCGGGCGTTATCCCTTATCCCGGGATAAGGAACTTTGTGGGCACATCCGACCCCCTCGGAGCACATCCACCCCGGGGCCCTCCAAGGCTCATTAGCAGTAAACCAGCTGCAGGGATCGTGACGGGGATTATCTCCTTAACGAGTTCTAAAAAAGAAATTGTGCACAAATAACGCTTATCCTCGGCCAGCACCACCTCGGGACTGAACGGGGAACGCGACACCATCCCCGGCTTTTAAAAGGAATTTAACGTGACATCGATGACATTATCAAAGAGGGGCAGAGCTGACGAGGCAACAACCGCTGTGTTTTGTAACCAGACTTCCCTGAAAAACGGGAGGGGGAAAAAAAAAAAAAGAGCCCGGAGAAGCCTTGCGAGCAGCAGAACATTCCCTGACACACGTTTTCTGTTTAGTCACCACCGCCCCGCGCTGGATTTGGGGCTGGGAAAGGCAGGATTCGCCACCTGCTTTCTCCTCTCTCCGCGACCGTTCCCTGCAAAGACACTTTTGCCTCCGATTTCAGCCGCCCCGGCCGAGCCCCCGCCATTCAAACGGCCTCAAACTTCAGCTGCTGGGGGGGGGGGAGAACCTGAATAGTTTCAGGCGAGTTCCCCATTTGTCACAGAACGGCCTCACCCACAAATCACCCCGAGCGGCCTTTGTACCCCGGGGAAGAGCCTGACAGCGCCGGGGCCCCTCGTTCCCTGGCTTATTCTTCCCTCGGGGGCTTCTGCAGCGCTGAGAGGGGGGGATTTGGGGAGCAGCTTCCACACCTCGGTGGCTGGGGATGGGGTGGTCAGCGAGCAAATCCCGTCCCCTGCGCCCCTGAATTGTTTTTTTCCTGCTCCTTGGTAGGTTTGGAAAGACGGCTCCTGTCTTTCCACAAGCAGCAAAGCCCCTGGGAGGGGGCTCAGGGATGGAAAAGGGAGATCCAGGTCCTCGCTGCCTGGGCACAAGTGTTGGGAAAGCTGCTGCAAAGCCCCCTCAGCACGGGATCCCCCCAGCTCCTGACACCCCTCACACGCAGCAGAGCGTCCCCCAAAACCCCCCCAGATCCTGCCCTCCATCCCCAGGGCTCCTGTTTATCACCCCACACAGGGCAGAACCCCCCCAAACAGCCCCCCAGGGACAGCTTCCCCCTCTCCATCCCCACGGGACAGCAGCCCCCCAGCTCCTGGTCACACGTTCCCCTCCCTCACCTCGGGGAAGGGGTCCCCCACCTACCTCCCCCCCCCGCCCCCTTTACATCAGGGAAGGGGTCCTCAAACCTACTCTCCCCGCCAAGCCCCACCAGCCTCAGGGAAGGGGTCCCCAAAACCACCCTCCCCTCAAACCCCCCCACTCACCTGCCTCCTCCAGTTCCCCTCCAAGGGTTGGGTCCCTCACCTGCGCCCCTCACCTTAGGGATGGTGTCTCCATAACTACCCTCCACCCCAAGCCCCCATCACCTCGGGGAAGGGGTCTCTGACCTGCTCCTCTGAGCTCCCCACTCCCCTCGGGTGGGGGTCCCCCACCTATTCTCCCGAGCCCCTCTCACCTCGGGGAAGGGGTGCCCATAACTACCCTCCACCCCAAACCCCATCACCTCGGGCAAGGGGTCTCTGACCTGCTCCTCTGAGCTCCCCCCTCCCCTCGGGCGGGGGTCCCCCACCTATCCCCCCGAGCCCCTCTCACCTCGGGGAAGGGGTCCCTCACCTGCCCCCCCTGAGCTCCCTCTTCACCTCGGGGGAAGGGGTCCCCCATCTCGTCTCCCCCCAAGCCCCCTTCCCGGAGCCGTCCCGTACCCGTCACCACCACCGCCCGCCGCGGCTTCTCCATCGCGGCTCCGTCCCGTCCGTCCCGTCCCGTCCCGTCCCGCCGCCGCCGCCCCGCACTGAGCGCGGCCCCGCCCCGCCGCGCCCGCCCCGCCCCGCAGCGCCCGGGCCCGCCGCTTCCGCCGCCGCGGCGGAAGTCCCGCAGCGGGACGGCCCCGGGAGCCTTTCCCCGCTCACCGGGCACCGCTCACCGTTCGCTCACCGTAGCCCGAGGCGGGGGAGGGTTGGGTCACCGTAACCCCAGACGCGCCCGCGGGCGGTGGGGGGTGGTTGGTTGAACAAAACGCTCATCCTGAGCCCCACAGGGGTTCCCCGCGCGGCCGTGCGGGGGGAGCACGAACCGCGCGGTACCAGAGGGGCCCCGTCCCGTCCCTCCCGCCCCGGGCCCGGGCCCTTCCCGGGCGGCGCCGCCGCCAAGGCGCGGCCGGACCCGAGCGGCGCGGCCGGGGCCGAGTCCCCGCGCGCTGATTGGCCGCGGCGGGGCCGCGCCGAGCGCTGATTGGCCGCGGCGGGGCCGCGCCGCGCGCTGATTGGCCCCGCGCGGAGCCGGGGGGCGGTTTGAGCGGCAGCGCCCGGCGCGGCGGCGGCGGCTCCGCGGGACCCGCACGATGGTGAGCGCCGGCAGCGGCACCGGGGGGAGCACAGCCGGGGGGGAGTGCGGGGCTGGGGAGGGGGCTGGAGCTCCGGGGAGGCCCTGGGGTATCCCTCCCCTGTCCGGTGCCCCGCTCGGTGCACCGGTGGGTCCCCCGGTGTCGCTCGGTGCCTGAGGCCTCTCCCCTCTGTTCCGCTCGCAGCTGCCTCTATCGCTGCTGAAGACGGCGCAGAACCACCCCATGGTGAGTACGCGAGTACTAACTCCGGTCCACCGCCCCTCCCGGCCTCGGTGACACCGGGGAAGGTCCCGGTACCGGCGGCACGCGTGACTCGTGTTCTCTCGCAGCTGGTGGAGCTGAAGAACGGGGAGACCTACAACGGGCACCTGGTGAGCTGCGACAACTGGATGAACATCAACCTGCGGGAGGTCATCTGCACGTCACGGGTAAGGCCGGGGCACCGGGCAGGGGTCACCCTGGCACGGGGCAGGGACCACCACCCTCTGTGTGCACGGGGAACACCCAGCACCGGGCAGGGGTCACCCACCAGCCAGGATTCCAACAGTGCCTGGCACTGGGCAGGGGTCACCCACCCGCTGTGCCCCCAGGAACCGTCCCCCAGGGGTGCTGACCTCTGTCCCTGCAGCCAGGCCAGCTCTGCTGTAGCTCAGAGGCTGTTACTCCTGTGGAAGTGTGACTGCTGCCCGAAATGCAAATTTAACATAGTTATAAGATCCATAACGAAGGAACACGCTCAGGTGCACGCCGGGACAGGCTGACTTTCTGCACAGAATGAGGGGCTGGGGATCCCTCCCCCCCCTCAGTGAAGCTCAGGAGGTCCCTTGCCCCCCTCACTGAGGGTCTGGGGACCACATGCTGTGATCCTGAGCCGGATTTCCCCAAAAAAACCAGCTTTCCCCTGTCACGTGCTGCCCCAGCAGCCTCAAACACCACGTTCACTTTTATTCCCTGCCTGTCTCTCCCCCTCTCACTCCACATCCAACCCAGGAGCCGGTGGTTCACCCGTTCTGAGGCCATCTGGGACTTCTGCCCTTGGCCAGAGTTGCTCCAGGAGGTTGAGATTTGTGCTTTGGGCTTTGACCTCCGTCAGAAATGTCTGGTCTTGCTCCCTGTGTGCTGTGGGAAGTGGCAGCTGGAGGGATATCAGGCTGTCACTGCTCTCTCCCCTGCCCTGGAATGTCAGAGCTCCATGGGAAAGACTGGCAGGGGTCCTTGTTCTTCCAAAAATCTCTCTGCAAACCCCCCAGTTCCTGTTTCCACAGCAAGAGTTTGGAGTGGTGTCACATCAGTGTGACAGAGAAAACACCCTGAGCGAGGTTTGGGAGGGAATTTTGGGGTGGAATGGCAGAGTTTGGAATTTGTGGATGCACCCTGGGTCATGGTGGGACAAGTTGAATTTAGCAGGAGAGAGGGACTAGAGGAGGTAACAGCCAAGCCCATGATAGGGGTGATACCATCCTTCTCCTTGGAAATTCGCTTCCAAAGGTTCAGTGCTCTGCCTGGGAAGAGCAGCAGCTCAGGTTTTGTTCCCTCTGGGTGACCTGGAGGTATCACCCAGAAGGAAATGGACCTGTTGGAGCGAGGCCAGAGGAGGCACCGAGATGATCAGAGGGCTGGAGCAGCTCTGCTGGGAGGGAAGGCTGGGAGAGTTGGGATTGTTCAGCCTGGAGAAGAGAAGCTTTGGGGTGACCTGATTGTGGCCTTCCAGGACCTGAAGGGGCTACAAGAAAGATGGAGAGAAACTATTTCCAAGGGCCCGGAGTGACAGGACAAGGGGCAATGGCTTCAAACTATCTCAGAGAGTGGGTTTAGGTGGAATATTGGGAAGGAATTCTTCCCTGGGAGGGTGGGGAGGCCCTGGCACAGGTTGCCCAGAGAAGCTGTGGCTGCCCCATCCCTGGAAGTGTCCAAGGCCAGGTTGGATGGGGCTTGGAGCAACCTGGGCTAGTGAAAGGTGTCCCTGCCCATGGCAGGGGATGCAACTGGATGAGCTTTAAGTCACTTCCAACCCGAACCAGTCTGTGTTTCCCTCATTCCCTGATCTGTCCCAGGAAAGCAACCAGGCTCCCCAGCCTCAGCCCACCTGAACACACCAGAACCCCCCCAAATCCCAGATGAACGTGGAGCTGCGGGGTTGTACTGGTGGCACTGGTGGCACTGGCCACTAGATGGCACGGAACAACGAGCCGGGAGCCGGTTGTTTACTCCGGGGAGGCCGGAACGAGGAAGCGAAGGAGCCTGGAGAGCCTGGTTCCATCCCTTCCTGCATCCCGAGCCAAGGAGCAGGCAGGCAGATCCAAGGCAGGGTGGGGTTTGCCGGGTTGGAAGAGAACTGTTTCTCTCTGTCTTGTCCTGGACTTGCCTGTACAGGCAAGAGCTGCCCCAAATAACTCCCGGGGCGGGGTGAGAAGGGGGGGGGAAAACCGACTGTTTTATCCCGGGAGAGGAGGAACGGGGTGTTCTGGTTTCTCCTCCTCTCCTGGGACGCGACAGGCGCCTCGTCCACGTGGTGCCACTTGAGGATGGCTGGGCTGGAGGGATCCCAGCTGCATCCAGATCCCCACGGAGCCGCTGCCCAGCTGGGAATGCGGGGCTGGAGCGGGACGAGGCGGGTCCCTGTCCCTCCTCCCAGTTACATCATGGCCAGAGAGTTGTTGTTCAGCTTCGGTGCTGGATTCTCGCTCCCTGGTGGGTTGTGTCCTAGGGGGAAGCCCATTGTATCCCAGGAAAACCCTTGAAACAACTCAAAGCAGCATCCAGAGGTGGCTGCTTCGAAACCGTGCACCTGAAGACTCTTTTTTTTTTTTTTTGGTAATAAATGTAAAATGGGTGAGCTCCTTTTTTCCCCTCAGCTGCTCTGGTGGCTCACACCCCACAGCCAGCTGGCTCCAGACCTGCCTTGCTGCTCCCTCCACACCCCAGAGGAGTGAAGGGTTGGGGTGACTCCCAGCTGGAGGAGGAACCTGGCCACAGCTGCCCTTTTTTTCCCCAGAACTGGTTGTTCATCAGCATTTTAACTCCCCACGTTTGTGTCTCTAGTCCCACTTTCAGTTACCTTCTTGTGCAAGAAGGCAAGGAGGTGCTTGTTTCCTCACCCTCTTCTTCCTTCATTTTCTGAGGGCGTTTGAGGTAATTGTGGAACAAAATCTTTATGGGTCCCAACTCAGAATATTCCGTGAAATTCTGAAATTGAAACTACAGTTGTTTGTGGCCCCGGGTTGTATTTTGGGGAGGAAAAGCCTTTGTTTTTCACAGTTAGTTATGAATAAAGCTTCCAGCAAAGACTGGTGGAGCTCTCACTCTCTCCAGAAGTGATGGAAACACACAAATGCCCTAAAAAGTGATGGAAAAGCACTGGGTTTTGTCCGTGTCTCCCCAACAGGATGGAGACAAGTTCTGGAGGATGCCCGAGTGCTACATCCGTGGCAGCACCATCAAATACCTGCGGATCCCCGACGAAATCATTGACATGGTGAAGGAGGAGGTGGTGTCCAAGGGCAGAGGCCGTGGTGGGATGCAACAGCAGAAGCAACAGAAGGGCCGTGGGGTTGGAGGAGCTGGACGAGGTAACGATCCCGTTTTGTTTCCCAGCTGGGAGAGGGGGGCTGAGTGAGATCCCTGCCTATGGAATTTCACCTCTTGTGCAAGGAATCAGCTCCTGCTTCTCGGGTTTAGAGCCAGGGCTGGGGCTGGGAGAAGCTGGAGCCGTTCCTGTGCAGGATCCAGTCGAGCGAGTGCGTAAGGGCAGCGTCTGCCAAGGCACAGGGAGGATCCGTGCCAGGGATGGGCCTCCCTCGGTTCTGGGGTTGGGCAGGAGCTTAAGAGAGTCTGAACGGGATTGTTTCTACCCCTCCTGGCTCGTTTGGCAGCAGGGCCCTACAAAACTTTTCAGCTTAGCAAGTCCAGGGGGGAGAAACAGTTGTTCTGGGTGAAAACAGTGAAAATACAGCGGGTTCTGCCCGTGGAAGTGATAGAAAAAAGTCATCTTCTCTCCCATTAAAATGGGGCTTTGGATCTCCTGCCAGTTTATTTATATTTAAAAAAAAAAAAAAACAAACCCCACACAAAAAACTGAGGGTTTGTAGGGTTTGTGTTCCTCCTGCTCCCCATGAATAATTCATGTTGCTGATAAAAGGGGAGGTTGCCACTTCAGAAGAAATAGGTCACCAAAACAACATTCCTATTTCATGGGGTTAAGCGATCCCGGAGCACTTCAGCTGGAGGACATGTTGCTCTTTTTTCCTCCTCCCCCCCCAACCAAATTATCCCACTGGAAGCCTCAGAACCATTTCTCTCCTTTCCTGCTCACCCCCTCGTGCCACACCTTTGGGGGTTCGTGGTCACCTCGCAGCCCCCGGAGGCTTCGCCTGCGGTCGGAGCTTAAAATCCCGAGTTAAATTTTAAAAGGAGCCCTGGGCACTGGGACACCGAGGGGTGAAGCCTCTTTTTTGCAGCACCCTTAAGGACCTGCCTGTGTGTTTTGACTATGCCAGGAATCCTGGCAGGACAGGTGGGATCCACCCAGAGCCATCACTGCCGGGACGGGACGTGCGGCGTCTCGCGATTCCCGGGGCCTCCTTTTTCTCCCAAATCCCCGCCATCCCTGCTCCCTCCTGGAAGCTCCCAGCGTGCAAGAAGTGACCTTTACAAATCTGAAGGCGCCTTTATTTTCCCCCCTCCTTCCCTTTGCAGTGTCCAGAGTGCTTGGCAGGGCGTTTTTTTGGTGGTTTTATGGGTTTTTTTTTTTTTGGGATATGGTTATTCGGAGAAACATTTTCACGGTGCTGGTTTTTTTTTTTCTCTCTGCCGTGGAAATACAGAAACATCCACCTTGTGGGGAGCAGAGCTGGAGCTCTTGAGGTGGAGCTCCTGCTGTTTTCATGTGCAGCTTAAATTCGCTGATGGAATATTTTCGAGCATTTGCTAATTAGCTCCAAGGTTTGGCTCTCATTACTGAGACATGAAGGGAGGAGGGGAAAGGGGAGGGGGGAAAAAAAACAAAACCAAAACAACCAGGCAGGACAATTTTGTTGGGAGGCCACCAGGCAGGAGTGAAGCTGTAATTGTGCACACAGTTGAAAGGGTTATTGTTTCTGACACTGGTAATCCTTCCTCTTTGACTTCTTGCTTGCCAAACTCAGAAGTCCCTGGTCTTTGCTCCAGGAGCAGCTGGAACATCCCAAGCACTGCAGGGTTTGGAATAATTTATATTTTGCCTTTGATTTAATCACGTCTCCTCAGTGAAGCAACTGCTGAGGGCTCTTGTGCCTGGTGCTTGGACTGGGTCTCCTTTGGGAGGGTGGATCCACATCCTGATTTATCCCTGTTTTGGGGGTAAATCTGAGCTCAGCAGCTCCTGTGACAGTCGCAGCTTTTGGGTATGAGGATGCTCATCTCACCACAGCCTCCCAACTCCTGCTGTCCTGTGCCCTCTCCAAAGCCATGGGTTGCTCTGTCCAGCTTTTGTTGGCCCTCACAGCTCTCAGGGGACCTGGATTTTAAATTTATCACTTCCTTGGCTCCATTTTTCAGGCAAAACTTCAATTTACCACGACATTACCATCAATCATGACATTAACATCAATCATGACATTAACACACCAGTTTGTGCACCTCTTAAACACAGGTCTGGGACTGGAAAGGGAGGTGTCAAAAAGTCCTGTTTCTGCTTCTAAGACTCAAAAATAAACATGTATTTGGGTAAGACAAGAATAACTGTGTGCCAGGGGTGCTGTTACATCCTTGCTCTTCCTTTCTGCTCCACAGGTGTGTTTGGTGGCCGTGGCAGAGGAATTCCAGGCAGTGGAAGAGGCCAGCAGGAAAAAAAGCCAGGCAGACAATCAGCCAAGCAGTGAAATGTCTGCACCCAAGGCCGGGGACAGTTTGGGTTTTGTCACCTCAGGATTTGCCACGTGTTCAAAAACGTTCCCTTTCCCACTCTCCCGTGAGTCAATCAGAGCCCAAATCATGTTCATTTTGGAAGCCCCTCGTGATTTAATCTGGTCAAGTGGAGTTTTCACTCCTTGTAGTCAGTAAGTCGTTGGAAATATTTCTTAAAAGAAAAAAAAAAAAGAAAAAAATCATTCATGGTTAAGGGCTGAAGTTCTGCCTTCTCCTGAGAGTGAATTTTTCAGGGTCGCCAGGTTTAATTTAAAATATTATCCTGTTCAGAGGTACCAGAACGAAGGCAAACAGACACTTTCTGGATTGTTTGGAATTTTTGTTTGGTTTTTTTTTTTATACTTGAAACTTGGGAAACGTGTGTTTGTAACAGATGTGTGAGCGTTTTGCTTTAAAAACACTGAACTTGAGGATATTGTGTCTGTACACGACTAGTCTTAAAGGTTTGGGGTTTTCTAAAGCCAACAAACCTTTAAACTATTGCTTTTCTTTTCCTGGCCAGTCAGTTCTGTCTCTCCTATGGCTGAAAGGAGAACTTGGGGTGAACATTGGCCTTCAAGGGTTGTTCCCAAGAGAGCTTTGTGATAAATGAGTGTTTCCCAATTAGTTCATTGCTAACTTGACTTCAGATTAGAAGTTTCCTTTAAAGGAACAGGTTTTCTGTGGGTTTTTTTGCATGAGGCTGGTGCTCCCCTCTCTCCTCATGGGTGATTTTTTTTTTTTTAAATTTTCTGAGTTGATTTACGTGGATTTATTTCCCTCCCGCTTGGGAAAACTCTTTCCCCTTTTGCTGTGACACCAAGCACTGAACTCTTGACAATATTTCTCAACCTGATTTCTTCCAGTACCTGGTGATTGACCTCACTGGATGTACCTGTCACTTCCTTTCCTAGTCACCAATTATCTCCCCTTGGGGAGCAGCGTGTCCCTCCTGTAGGCTCAGAAAACTCCTGGGAATTCCCAGGTTGAGTTGCTCCAGTCTTCCATCCCATGAGCAAAATGCACCTGCAAAATATCCTGATATTAATTGAACATCTGCACAAGGGGAAGAAACAACTCTGGGTGAGCCTTAACCCCCTCAAGGGATGAAATAGGTGAATTTTAGGGGAAAAACCCGTGTTGTGGCTGGTTTTGAGCAGGTTTTGGTTTGGTTTGGTACAACTGGTTCTCTGTATTGAAGCCTATTCTCTTCTTATATTGAAGCCTATTCTCTGCCATCACCACTGTCTTGAAAAGGAGTGAAGAACATGCTTTTATAGAGTTATTTTTTTAATGTTTATAGAACTGGGTGCAGTGGTGAGTGGGAATAAATCTCCAGCCTCTACCAACAGCCTCCCTCTCTTGTGTCTGCGGCGGCCTGACCCCAAACCCCTTCCCTGAGCCCTGGGATCAGGGAGAAATCCCTGTATTTTTAGTTCCTGCTTCTCTCCGAGGCGTTAACCAGCACTCCCATGTCCTTCCCAGGCGATCCAGCTTCTCCCAAGGAGCCAAATCCAGGCCATGGGAAAGGGGTGATGTGTCCTCCCCTCCTCAGGCTCCACGTAAACACCCCTGTGTGGTGTTTTAACAAAGCCCTGGTGTCAGACTTTCCCTTCCCAACCTGCTCTCCCTCCCTTTGGATCCCTCCAGCCACGGAGACTCCTCCGTGCACTGCTGGGATTGAAGGTCTGGCCTGGCTGGATAAATCTTCCCTGCAACAATGGGACCTTTGGCTCCTGCTCAGGGTTGAGTCCTCCAAGTGCTCCTTATCTCCCAGCCAAGCTCTGGGGTCAGGTGATGGAGCTCGTTAAGTTCTGCATTTGTTTAATTACACCACAGGCTTTAGCAGCATTCCCTGCCTGCCTCCCCCTTCCTTTTTTCCACCTCTGTAGGAATATTTTTGTTCCCAGCTGAGGGCAACTGGGTGGAAGGTGGTTCTGGGGGGGGAGCGTCGCACTCTGATTTTGGGCTTTTTTTTTGCCCCAAAAATGGGTGTCTGGGGCCGTCACGTGTTCCAGCCCCTGCCCCGTGGCAGCACAGGGGAGGCTGAAAAAATTACAAGAAACTAAAACAAAACAGGGAGGAGCAAGATAAAAGCAACAAAGCAGAGAGAGGAGGGAAGAAAGGTCTGAGCCTCGCTGCCGGCGTGGGTGGGTGAACGGCCTAGCAGGGCTGGAAAGACCCAGCAAAGGCCACCCTGGAAACCCTCCCTGCTGCCTTCCCGGGATATTTTGGTGGCAGTTGAGCTGGTGGCAGCTCCAGCAGCCACGGGGATGTGTCTCTGGCCGCCCCACAGTGACTCATAACTTCTGTGCCTCGCCGGGGAGGCAGCACAGGAATAGTTACACACCAGCGACGCGGAGGGAGTGGCTGCCGAAATATTTCAGGGCTGTGCTAAGCAACTAAAAATACACGTCAAACCCTCCTCCTCCTCCTCCTCCTCCTCCTCCTTTTTCCTTTTTAAATCTGTTTTCTTTCTCTCTTTCTGGTGTGGTGTTTTTTGGTTTTTTTGTTGTTTTTTTTTTAATTCTTGGTTCTGATTGTTGGAGGCCCCTGCGGGCCCCTCGGGGGGTTCTTCAGGGACTGGCGCAGGTTCGGGGGCAGGCGTTGGCATCTGGTGACTTCTTGTTTTCCCGGCTTGGTTCCTCTCTCCCTGCCTGTGGCAGTGACTAAGAGGCAGCTTCCCCTGCGTGCCCGGTGCCCGCCGTGCCAATCCCGGGGTGCAAACCCTCTCCTGCTTCTTCCCTTTTCCACGGGGGGCCGGCTTGGTGCGTGGATACATCCCTGGGAGCTCGTGGGTGTCTTGCTTTGGGTCCAGCCCGTGTCCTCAAAGCCGTGGGTGTCAATCCCTTCGTGGTTTGGGTGTCTTGGCTCCTGGCAGAGCAGGATCAGGCGCTGCCGGTGGCACGCAGGGAAGGGTCCCGTTGGTGCCATGGAAACGGGGGGAGCAGGAGCTGCGTGAGGATGCTCTGGTGACCCTGCTCGAGGCAGGCTCGCGGTCCGGCGGCGGCGTGGGCTCATCCCAAATCCTCACCGCCCGCTCCGGGGTAAATATAGCCCGGCTGGCAGGTGGCAAAGACACGGCGTGACTCAGTGGGTGCTCCGACGCCTCCGGGAATAGCAGCTCCGGCCACCCAGCCGTGGCGAGGCTGGCACTGCCACCAGCTCCATGCACGGGGGACATCCCCACGGCAGGCAGGCGGAAGGGGCCACTGAATCATGCCCCTCATTAAACGCTCATTAAGCAAATGAAGCTGCCGGGCACGGGGCTGCCACCGGCGAGACATCCCACGACATCCCACGGGCCCTCTGGCTTGGGGACAGGGGATGTGTGGGATGAGCAGCAGCGGTGACAGGCTGGGAGCGTGCGGGGGGACACAGCGGGATGAGCCTCGGGGCGCTGGGACCCTTGTGGGGAGGGGTGGTGGGGTTTTGCCGGTCGGGCCCAGCCCGTGGCTCACATCCCTGGCCAGGGGCCAGCCGCTCTTCCCGGGAGGCCCCGGGGCCGGCTCGTTCCTCCCTGGAACTGATTAAAGCACCTCCAGCCAAAGCTGGTTCTTGTTGTCCCGCTGCTGTGCTGGGGGAGCACTGTGGGTACCCCCGTGCAGCTCTGCCCACCGATGCCCACCCGGGTCCCTGTGCGAGGCCAGGACGGGGGGAAGGGGAGCTGTTCCCCCCCTGCCCTGGTCCCCGTCCCTCGCCAGCCGGGTTGGGTCAGGATGGAAAGTCTGAACCTGCCGGTCCGGCCGCCGCCGCGCCCCTAATGACGGGTTTGGAGCGGAAACACGGACGGCGGCTTCACCTGGGAGCTGCTCCCCGGCCCTGCCCAAGCCCCCCGGGACACCGGCCCTGGCACCTGCCCCCTTCCCATGGGGCAGTGGGGACAGCAAGGGGACACAGGGCTCGGTCTGCTCCGCTTCATCTGAGATTTAATCAACTGCGTGTATTTGGGATTTTAATGAACTGTGTTTATTTGGGATTTAATTAACTGCAGCTGTTGGGGGAGGGTGGATCCCAGTCATTCCCACTTGTGCCTCAGTTTCCCCAGTGCCAGCGCTGGGTGTCCCGGCCCCAGGGGCTGCCCCAGCCCTGTCCTGGGTGTCACCTGTGTACCCTGCGGCCTCCCTGAAGCCAGGGCTGAGCTGTGCCCTGTGCCATGTCCTGTGCCATTCCCTGTGCCATGTCCTGTGTCCTGTGCCATTCCCTGTGCCATTCCCTGTGCCATGTCCTGTGTCCTGTGCCCTGTGCCATGTCCTGTGCCATTCCCTATGCCATGTCCTGTGTCCTGTGCCCTGTGCTGTGTCCTGTGCCATTCCCTGTGCCCTGTGCCATGTCCTGCACCATTCCCTGTGCCCTTTGCTGTGTCCTGTGCCATTCCCTGTGCCCTGTGCCATGTCCTGCACCATTCCCTGCGCCCTGTGCCGTGTCCTGTGCCATGTCCCGTGCCCCACACCATGGTGTCCCCACACCCCGCGCCGTGCCCCACACCGTGGCCGTGCTATCCCAACACCCAGTCCCACGCCGTGCCCGTGGGCCGCAAACAGGCCGGGCTGACAGAGGCCCTTTGCACCAGGATCACCGCGGGCAGGGTGTCAGCGCAGCACCGCCGCAGGGTCCCCTCGGGGGGCCCCCCGGCACTGACACCCCCTGATTTATCGCCCTCGTTAGCGCAGGCCTGGAACCATCTGGCAGCAATTAGGCCGCGGCTCCGCGTCACCCGCCCCGGCGTCCCCGCGGCCTCGCCGTGCGCCGCGTTCGCCGAGACCCTGGGCCCGCGGCGCGGGGGCCGCATCCTGCCCGCGCGAGGGGGGGGGTTATCAGCGGCCATCGGCGCCGGTTCCCCCCCCCCGCGCCGGTGACGTCAAGCGCTGACGCCGATCCACCCCCTCAGCCGCCCGCGGGCTTGGCCGGCCGTGACGTCTGCGGCCTCCACCGCCGCCGCCGCTTAACTCCTTCCCCGGTGACGGTTGAGCGGGGCCTCAAGGGGCTCACGGTGGAGCCAAGGTGTTGGGCCTGGCCTGAGTGACCCCCCCGGTGATGGTGTGACCCCCCCTGGGAAACCGCGGTTGGCCGCCCGCCGTGTGGTGGCAAACCGACCCACCGGCACCGGTGTCACCGGGATGCGCCGGTGACAAAGGCTTTGATGAGGGAAGTGTGGGCACACGCAGGGACGGTGGTTCTGTCCCACCGGGGCACGGCCCGGGCAGGCCCTGCTGTGCCTGGTGCTTGTGGCTTGTCCCAGTTTGACCCACGTGGGTGGTGGCCTGGCCGTCCCCAGAGGGTGCCATGAGGCCCCATGGCCCCGTGTGTCTGTTTATTTCTTTGTTGTGCCCTTTTACAGCCGGGGCCTGACCCGGTGCTAGTTCCCGGTGTTGGTTCTGGTGCCAGTGACTGTGCCCAGTATTGCCCCTGGTGCCGGTGACTGCCCAGTGCCAGTGCTCAGTGGCTGGTTCCCGTGCCCTGTGGACGGTGCCCAGTTCCCGGTGCCGGTTCCCATTCCATGCCTGGTCCGGCTTCCAGAGGGGGTCCCGGTTTCCAGTGGCAGGTGGGCGATTCCCATGCCCCAGTCCCGGTTCCCACTGGCTGGCAGCCTGTTCCCGTGCCCAGTTCCCATTCCCATGCCTGGTGACTGGTGCCCTGTGGCTGGATCCTGTTCCTTGTGCCTGGTCCTGCGCCCCGTGCCTGGTTCCTGGTGCTGGTTCCCGGTCCCCGTGCCCGGTTCCCATTCCTGGTCCTCCTGGCTGGTTCCCATTCTCCGGTGCCGGTTGGCACTCCCGGTGCCCGTTCCCGGTGCCCGTTCCCGCCCCTCCCTTTGTGCTCATCAGTCCAGGCGGTTGGCAGTCCCGGTTCCCGGTACCCATTCCCGCTGCCCGTTCCCGCCTCTCCCTTTGTGCCCATCAGCCCCGGCAGTTTGCAGTCCCAGTTCCCGGTACCCGTTCCCGGTGCCCGTTCCCTCCCCTCCCTTTGTGCCCGGTAGTCCGGATCCCGGTTGGCAGTCCGGATCCCGGTTGGCAGCCCTCGTTCCCGGTGCCCGTTCCCGTTCCCGCCCCTCCCTTTGTGCCCGTCGGTCCCGGCGGGGGTGTGGGGGGGTGTGTGCACGTGACCGCCCCTCCCCCCGCGCTGACGTCATCCCAGGGCCCCGCGCGCTGTTGTCCCGTTTACCCGCCGGTTGCCCCGGCGACGGCGCGGCCGGGGGTGGGCGTGGCCCGGCGAGTGGGCGTGGCGCCACCTCCCCGGGGCGGCGGGCCCTCCCCTTATGCAAACGAGGGCGGGCGAGCACGTCATCTGCAGCCAATGGGGGCCCGGCGCGGTGAGGTCACCGCGGCGGCGCCGCCTATTTAAAGCGGCGCGGGGCGCGCGGCGGCGGCAGACGCGTGTGCGCGCGCGCAGGAGCGGGGTCGCGGCCGGTGCGCACCGGGCGCCTCCCCCGCCCGCCCCCCCACCCCCCTTCCCGGGCCCCGCCCCGGCCCTCCCCCCCCCCCTCCCGGCCCCGTTTCCCCCGCAGCCGGGCGGGGGAGGAGGATGGAAACACCCTTCTACCATGATGATGTGTTGAGCGGCCTCGGCAGCGGCTTCGCCCCGTCCTCCGGCAGCAGCGGGCTCCTCCTGCCCTTCCCTGGCGGCAGCATGATGAAGAAGGACGCGCTCGGCATGGCCTTACCGGAGCAGTTGGCGGCGGCGCTGAAAGCCCCCGGCGCGGCCAGCGGCGAGGCGGCGGGGCTGCTGGGCTCGGCAGAGCTGGGGCTGCTCAAACTGGCGTCGCCGGAGCTGGAGCGGCTCATCATCCAGTCCAACGGGCTGGTCACCACCACCCCGACGAGCGGGCAGTTCCTCTACCCTAAAGCGGCCGCCTCCGAGGAGCAGGAGTTCGCCGAGGGCTTCGTGAAGGCGCTGGAGGACTTGCACAAGCAGAACCAGCTGGGCGGCGGCGCGGCGGGGAGCGGCGGCGGCGGAGGAGGGAGCGGCGGCGGCGGCGGCGGGAGCGGCGGCGCGGGCGAGCTGCCCGCCGCCGGGATGGCCCCGGAGCCGCCGGTCTACGCCAACCTCAGCACCTACCCGGCCGTCAGCTACGCCGCCGACCCGGGGCCGTTCGCGGCGCCGCCGCCGCGGCTCCCGCCGCCGCCCCCGCCGCCGCCGCCGCTGAAGGACGAGCCGCAGATCGTGCCGGAGGTGCCGAGTTTCGGGGAGAGCCCGCCGCTGTCCCCCATCGACATGGACACGCAGGAGCGCATCAAGGCGGAGCGGAAGCGGCTGAGGAACCGCATCGCCGCCTCCAAGTGCCGCAAGAGGAAGCTGGAGCGGATCTCCCGGCTGGAGGAGAAGGTGAAGAGCCTCAAGAGCCAGAACACGGAGCTCGCCTCCACCGCCAGCCTGCTCCGCGAGCAGGTCGCCCAGCTCAAGCAGAAGGTGCTCAGCCACGTCAACAGCGGCTGCCAGCTCCTGCCCCAGCACCAGCATCAGGTGCCGGCGTACTGACCGGGGGGGCCCCAGCCCGGGAACGGACTTTGAGGGGTCCCGGGCACGGACCGAGGGGAGCGGGGGGAACGCCCGCCCTGCCCCGGGCACGGACCGAGGGGGAACTTGGGGAGCGCCCGCCCTGCCCCGGGCACGGACCGAGGGGGAACTTGGGGAGCCGCCCGTGCGTGCCGGGCATGGACTGAGGGGAGCGGGGGGAGCGCCTGTCCCGCCCCGGGAACGGACCGAGGGGTCCCGGGCACGGAGCCGGGGGGAGCGCCCGCCGTGCCCCGGCCGCGGACTGAGGGATGCCGGGCATGGACGGAGGGGTCCCGAGGGGAGGAAGAGGAGCGATAATCAGCCCCCCTCAGCTCCCTGAGGGGTCCGAGCGGAGGTCCGGGACCGGCTCCGGGCGGTGGGCACCGAGAATTCCCCCCGCGTACGGGCTGCGGGGAGGGAGAAGCTGGGGGTTCCCCTCACGGACTGAGGGGGGACCCGGGCCTCCCCCCCGCGCCCCACACATTCCAGTCAGGCCCCAGTAAAACCCCGCGACACGCAGAATTTGGCCTCTCGCTGTTTGCTGCGCCGGCGGGGGACGGGAAGGGAAAGGAAGGGAAGGGGCGGCGCGGGCAGGAAGCGGCGCGGCCGGGGGCCATCTTGGGGCGGGGGGGGAGCGGCGACGGAGGGGATTTGGGAGGTTTTGTGGGGGTTTTCGGGGTGAGGGGAGTCGGGGGAGGGGGAAGAGTGGTGCTGGAGAAGGGGCTCTGGGAAACGGGGGGTGAGAGGGTCTATGGGGTTGTGGGGTGGGGGCGCTTTAGGGTTGCTGGGAAGCACGGGGGATGGTGGGGGGGAGTTCCGTGGGGCGATATTGGAGGGTTCGGATGTTGGAGGGGTGTTGTGGGGTTACTGGGGCTCTCTTGAGGGGGTTGGGATTACTGGGAGTGCTGGGGCGGGAAAATCTCGTAAGTAGTGCATCTGGATTTGGATGTTGGGGGGTGCTCCCTGTGTACTGAGGCTCCTCTGAGGGGTTTTGGGGTTACTGGGTCTCTTGGGAGGATATGGTTTTACTGGGGTTCCCTGTGGGTGAGGGGAACCTGCTGCCGGTCCTGGCTGTGGCTCTGCCCTGTCAGACCCCTGGTTCCTCTGTGTTGGGGGGTTCACTGACACCGACACCCCCCTGTCCCAGCCCCCTGGGGTCACCCCATGGCACCCAGCGAGGCCGGGCCTCCGCTGCTCCTCCCCAGACTTCGGGAACTGGCCTTGACTTCCCGTCACTGCCATCGCTCCTCCTCTGCCTCCCCCACCTGTGGGGCCCTATCCCGGCTCCATCCAGGGAGCAGCACCCGAGAAACCAACCCTCCGCTCCTGGAGCGTTTGGGGACGGCACCGGAGGCAGCTTTGGCCTGTTCCAGCACTGGGATCACCCCGCTCCCGGGGGGCTCTGCTGTGGGTGACGGGAGGAGTGTGAGCTCCTTTGGGACCCTGCCGTGGGTGGCTCCCTGGGGACCCCGTGCTCGGTGCCAGCCGGCTGCGGTTTGGTGGAGGAAGCGCCTTCCCCGCCGCGCGGAAGCGGCCCCGGCGTGGTTGAGCTGCGCCCCGGATGTGCTGCTCCAGCACCAAGACGGACGGGGCTGCCACCTGTCTCCCTGTAGCAAGGCCAGCACGGCCCCGTGGCTCTGGTGTCCCCATGTCACCCCAGCCCTGTGTGCCCAAGTCGCTGTGTCCCAACATCTCCAAGTCCCTGCATCTTGATGTTCCCATCTGTGTTCCCAAGACCCCGCATCCCTTGTCCTCAAGTCCCTGCATCCTGAAATCCCCAGATCCCATTGTCCCCCAGTCCCTGCATCCTGATGTCCCTTTGTCCCTTGATCCCTTTGTCCCCAAAGCCCCACATGCTGCTCTCTCTGTGTCTCCAAATCCCTCTGTCCCTCAGACCCCACATCCCTGTGACCCACATTCCCGGATCCCTTTGTCCCCAAATCCCCACATGCTGCTGTCCGTGTGTCCCCAGAACCCTTTGTCCCCCAAGTCCCCACATCCCGACCTCCCCATCTTCCCAGATCCACTTGTGTCCCCCCCCTTCCCCCCGGTAAGACCTCGGGATGCCGGCAGGGCTGGCTCCCGGTGCCTGGGGTGGGCGGGTGGGGGTCTCACGGCCCCGGAATGGGAGATGCGCGGGGGGAAAACTGATGCCCGGGGCTGGGGCCTCCTCCCGGTGCCCGCAGGGTCCCGGTGCCGCGGCGCCGCCCGGTACCGACAGAGGGCGCCGCGGGCGGGGTCGCCCCCGCCTCCCCCGGGGCGGATGAAGGCGGCGGGACCGGCATCGGGACCGGGAGCGGGCGGGATGCTCCCGGGAGCGCTCCGCCTGCTCTGCTGCGCTGCTACCCTGCTCGCTGCCGCAGGTACCGGGCACCGGGGAGGGTCCTGGAGGCATCCTGGGGGCACTCGGGATCTGCAGCACCGGGGGGTGGGTCTGTTGCCTCCCCCTGCCCGGTCCCGGGTACCAGGAGGGGGGTCGAGGTGCTCCGGGGCACCAGGGAAGTTCGGGGAGGTGACCATGTGCTCCCCTGAGCTCTGCACTGGCGGCTCAGGGGGGAACTGGGGGGTCCCTGTGGTCTCCCTCATGGCACGGGGGGGCTGCAGCTGCTTCCCGGAGGTGCCAGGCTGGGGGGGAGCACCCGGACACTGCCCAGTACCCTGTGCTGCTGTCGGCCCCCCATTTCCAGCCCGGGCCCCCAGCACCCCCACCCTGCACCCCAAAGTGCCTCAGCTCACCCTTCTTGGCACAGGGTGCTTGGCCCTGGGTTCAACCATCCCGGTGTGAGGCAGCAGCTGGGTGGGAACGGCCCGCCCTGGTGGGCACGGCAGCCGTGGGGTCCCCCAGCACTTGGCTACGCTGTGCCCCTGGGTGTTGGCGCTGGGTGCCGGCTCTGCCACGAGGCATTTTGCTCCAGTGTCCCCCTGGGGCCAGGCTGGACCTGCTCCTCCTCTTGTGCAAACAGGACTTGGGCAGATAAGGGCACTGCCCGGAAAACACCAGCACGTCCCACGTGGCCCCAGCGGAGTCCCCATCACGCCCGGCCCTGAGGGTGTCTGGTGGGTGCCACGAGGGCCGGGCTGGCACATGTCCCTGTGCCGTGGCACTTACCTGCTGCTGCCAACCCTGCTCTGCTTGTTGCACAACAGGTTGGGAGGCTCTTTTTGACCCTGTGTTTCTGGGAGCCCATATTGGCTAAATCCCAGTTTTCTGTGTGTGATGAAAAACACCTGGGAAATGATCCCTGTGGCACCGGGAGCCCAGGCAGGTGCTGCTGCCCTTCCTGGGGCCCTGCCTGCCCCTGCCAGGGCCCTGCCATGTCCTTGCTGACCAGCTCTTTCCTCCAAGGTCTAGAGCCAGGACATGGCACCAATGTCTCCTCCACAGTGGCTCTGAACAGCTCAGGGACAACCAAGTCACCGAGTCCATCCAGGACACTGGGATCAGCAGCACCTCCAGCATCTCCATCCA